AATATGCTTCATAATCAGCTTTTATAAAGTTACATCACTTGCATTTATATCACCTTCGCAAGTAATAGTCTTATGCATACCAATGTTTTTGTGAAATACCAATCAGTCAATTCGGTTTTACAACTGCCAGTGTGCGTTTATCTATTTAGATCCCTCTTCAAGTGTGACGTTATGAGGCAAGCAGGCAACTTCAGTCATCAACAATTAGTTATTTGGCCATTAAGATAGGCCTAAAATAAGATTGTAAATTAGTTGACTAAACAAATTGACTAAACAAAGAGGATCACGCGTACGCTGGACTTCTTCAGGTGATTTGGCCTAACCAACAGATCTGTGGCATGAATGCCATTTGGAATATTTGGCACCTTTGATTTGTTTGTACAATTTGTACAATGTGCGCCCTTATGGTCTAGTTGGAATGCCGTTTTGCATGGATGTTTAAAAAAACATAGAATATACAATTAAATGCATAATGCAGCAAAAAACATGAGCAATATAGCCGTGCGTAACCGTCCGTCCTAGACGGATTTACGCGTAAACTGATCCTCCGATGGTTTCCATTTGAGATATTTTCAGACCCTGAGTTCATGAGATTTTAAACATCATACATGGTAAAAGTGCAACGAAATTTGACATCAGTCTACCAACATAGCACATTCACCAGTTGTGCCATGTCTAGTCTATTGATTCCCAGCAGCTTCGTTCTGCGGGTGTATCTTTGAGGTGGCGGGTCAGGACCCGGGCTCTTACACCAGCGCTCTAGCCCTTCACGGATCTCTCCAAATCTCTCTCAGGTTATTGAACCAGCACACAGTGATGGAGAAAGCACTTCAGTGACCACGCGCTCTGGTCCATCTGCTGTGCTGCTGTACGGCAGCCTGTGTCAGTGGGGGAGGGGCTGTTTTGAAATATAAAAGCATCGCCCATTTATGATTAAATCGTTGAATAATGCTTTACTGTTCATGTTTGACAAGATAACAATTCATTAATTAAACAGAATATCAATAAAATTGACATCATTGCACCCAGCAGTGTGGAGAGAAATAGCCTGGAGCTAAATGTTAGCCTAGCCATCAGGCCCAACCGCATGTTTCTGAAGTCTAAGTGGAGGTGGCCATCCAGGTTATTATGATGACCATTCAATTCCAGACATTTAACACAGAAGTAAGATATGTGTTCTTGAAATAACCGTTATGCGTTGTTTGATTATATCCTTGTTTGTCATTAGACCCTTGTAATACCATAAGTATAGCCTTGGACCATAGTGAACGTCTACACATCGACAATGATATCATATTACAGGCCGTAGAGGACATGCATTTGTGTAAGGAGGAGGTGATCTATTGATCTAGCTATAGTTGGTTACTCCGGACACACTCTAATTATAAATAGGCCCAAATAAACGAGATTGTTCGGTCATAAGACTACAGGCCGCCAACAACATTATTCCATATCCTATTTTGAATAGCCTATGGTTTAAATAAATAATAAAAGCCAGAATGTTCTAAATTATAACTGCATGATATTGAATTAAACAATGACAATAAACAAAGCCTAATGTTTTCTGTCAAATGAAAGTTTTATTTAGTGCATACTTTTTCAATATGAATAAAGCTTATTAATTGTGCTTCCTCTAGGTAGGTTTAACAAGGTGATATATGTTTAGCAGAAACAAAACAAAGCAATGGCATGGAATGAGCGCGCTAGGAATACGCAAAGAAAAACGCTTATAAACTTCGAGGCACAATACACAATTTAAAAATACAGTGACACCAATACAAAATAGGATTTGGTGCATATGTAACTGATTTATAAGATTTGATATTTCAATTGTTTTTCTTTCCTCCATTAAATTGGTGATTCAAAGTCTATGGACAATAGCCTACATCTAAAAATAAGAGGGCAAGCCTTTACTCGTAGGCTATCTGAAACATCAATAGGTTACATTTTAACTTCTTTGAAGTTAGCAATCTTGCAGTTATTTATCATGGATTTATTATTTCAGTTGTAAATATGACATATTTCAACGCTAATAGTAAATAGGCTAAGACAATCACAACCGACAAGCACAATAGGCAACATTTGCATAACTAGAATTGCACATAATCAGTATAAAAGTCTGTATCTGCTTCATTTAATATATTGTACCAATAAACCCATCCAAATATAAATCTTACAAACCTTCTGGAGGCCTAGCATTTCCTTCACCGCATGATATGTCCAAATATCTTGTTCACTAGCTCTACAAGTTGAAATGTACAAGACAAACTATTACTCTAAACTGTGCAGCCAACCGGCGCCAGATTTTTGTGCTTTTCCAATGTGGAGGGTCTCTGGACCCCGGTCGTGCTCTCTGGCTCAATAATCCAGAAGGTTGAGAGGTTTGCCTCATTTACATAACGTTAGAAGTGCTGTGAGTGTGGCCTACCTTTCCCATGTTCCCAAAAAGCCACCACGAGTCCCAGCATAGCCAAAAGGTGGCTCACAAAGCGTCTGCTTTTATGATGGCCTTTGCAGGTAAGATCACATACTGTGCCTTGCATACTTAGGTGAATCAGATTTATTAGAATATTAACAAAATAAGGTGAATTTAATGTTAGTTGAGGTTTAACATGAATAGAAAAGTAAACATGTGTAGCAGTGTGCTTTGAAGGTGAATTGCAAGAAACTTTTCAAACAAAGGGAATTACCATATGCTGTTGGTATGACATTTACTCTGACATGAGGTTAACTTCGTGCATAATGCTACTGACTTTTAAGTGCTATGAATTAGCTTGTCTCCTGTATTATGCCTCCTAATTTAACAACAGAATCCACCCACTTCGTTGGAATAAATGCGATGAGAAGGGTTTGTGAGAAATTGAAGGATGCATGAGCACGTAAATATTTACTGAATTAAAATTCATATAACAGTGATTTATTACATTTCTTAATGAACATCTTAAAGGGAGATTGGTGTTGCGTTGCCAGTAATTGATGGATGACCATGTCGCATCTTAATTTGCGCGATTAGGGTACTTACTGACATAAGTAATACTAAATCAAATTATGGTGTGAGTTTATACTTTTATTTTCCCTCTTCAACAAAGGGAAATATGCCACCATCAACACGATGATAACATTGGTGCTTTGGCTTATATAGAGATAATTGGTTTTAGTCACTTTTGGTCACCCTAAATGACACATCGGTCAGAATGTGAGAAAGTGAGACCCACCTGAGAGTTAACCCATAATAATGCATGACGAATTACAAGAATTTATCACCAATAAAGAAAGCCCCATTAGTAAATAATGTAGACGTCAATAGCGCCTATGTTTAAGTATTTCAGCTTTGCTTGGAAACGGATAGGCCTAGCTTTATGAGTGCAATAACTATACAGGTAACTATAGCTCCAGTTATAACAAAAGCCTAATGATTACAAAAAAATATGTCAGTAAGTCAAAATCATCACAACAATCATCACCACCATCTTTATCTTCTTCATCATAACAATACTTTCCCATTGTCTCTTGAATCACTGATTCAAAGTTTAAGTTACGGTCAAATATTTTCTACAAACTCAAACAAAGGTCAGGCCACTGCAGTTGATGAAGTGTAAAATAAATATAGGAAACATGATGAACTATTTTCAGTGTAATAATAATAATAGGCTGATAATAATAATGATAATAATAAAAAAAATCTAAAGTTGTGTTTTGCCTTCAGCAAGCACACCTAATAATAATAATAATAGCCTAGTAATGCCACAGTTACATTTCATGACTAATTGTTTTGTCGATTCAAAAGCCCTTTTCTTGTTCGCCTTATCTAATGTTTCTGCCTCTGGCGCCTGTGAGTTTGCCCGAGGATTAAGATGCCAGGTTAAGCAGTGGGCTTATACTCACATCGACAAACATATCCAAGTGTCCACAATGCCCCAGCAGGTTGATTAAAGTTTAATCAGGTGGTTGAGTGTCGGAATAAGGATGTTGTTGCATATCATCAGTTATCATCATGTGAATTCCCATGAATTCCAATGAAACATTATCCAATTATGATAATATTTCAAAAGAAAAGCATAAGCAGAAATACTTGTGATTTCAGAATGTAAGTCCAGTAATTTACTTTTTATCAATACTTTATTTGATATCTGTCAACTTGAAATGCACAAAAACGTACTGATTACTGTTTACTTTTTGCACTCTGCCAAGCCATATTTTGTCCATTCGAGTAAAGTAAAACAACTTTGTCAAACCTATTGTCTGAAAACATATGGAAACAATATGTAGCCTATTCACGGGTAGATCTTCAAGTATTTCTAATATTATATTTACCTAATGTCAATATGCTGTTTGGAAATAACTGAAAGCAATATACTCACAAGTTAGGATCCCTATCCTAATTTTTCCCTCTGTTACTTTGAGATAATTTGAAAGTGCCCCTCTTTGGTGGAACAAAATGATGCTTAAGACGCATAAATTAGCTGGTCATACAATTGAGGAGAACCATTGTACCTCTTTGGCGATGCTCGGTGGCGCTTATGTCTGGCCAAAGTGCTCTCGAAGTTTCCAGAAAGTATGGAGTTCCCTATTGACGCAGAAAATTACACGTACCCTTTTATCATGCGCTCAGCTCTTTATTATAGTAAGACCTGTGAACAAATAACAATGTCTCATCCAATACATATGTAGATATATTAGAAAAAGAAATACAAACATTTTACTTAGCATAATGTTCACCTTAATACGAAACTAACCACATTTCCTCAATTATCTTCCTAAAATGTCAATGACTATTGTTTGCTCGTTTAGGACGTTGCTCCGCCCCCTATGTTTGTCGTAAACCTGGCTCCTGGCTACAATAAACCCGAGCTAAGAGCGCCCTGGGCTCGCCTCCTTCTCCAAGGCGATCAATCGGATCTCAGGCGTACTACAAGCACTCTCTTACGTAGCCATCCACAAGGAGAGAGCTACATCAACACGGTTGATTTGCTCAACAAAATCTACCTGCTTTCTGAACCATGTCGCTGAGCCCAAAGCATACAACGCCTTTCTCAGTGACTGATATTTTGAGTCCTATCGAGGAGACCTACAAGAAGTTTAGTGGCATGGACGGCGCAGGGAACCTAACCTCTCCACTGGGAGCTTACCGACAGCCTCAGGTTTCCCAGACTGGCATGCAACAGCACTCCATGGGACACAACGCTACCGTGGCGACCACCTACCACATGCCACACACTGTCTCCCAGTTCTCGCACAGTGCCATGGGGGGATACTGCAATGGGAGCATTGGCAACATGGGAGACCTTCCGTCGTACCAGGAAACCATGAGAAATAGCGCAGCAGCAACAGGGTGGTATGGCGCGAACACGGATCCAAGATATTCAACAAGTAAGTCGTTTTTATTTTATTTTGATTTGTTGTTATTGTTTTGTGAATTGTTTTATTTCACTGTCAGCACTTCTCATACGAACTTTTAACGAAATGCGGACAACACTCACCATCATTGAGTAGTCTGACATTACATCATTTTCGAATATGGAAATGTTATTGAACAAAAAGTGAATTGTTGTTATTATTATTATTATTATTATTATTATTATTATTATTATTATTATCATTATTATTATTATTATTATTGCAATTAAATAAACTTGATAGATAAAGCTGCATGGTAAGATACATTTGGACAATTACGCACGGGATACAGACCATGGCCAAACTACTTCAGGCCATCAAAACGATACATTTGCATTGCTAAATATTGAATGTGCGTATATGTATGTATATTTTTAAGTTTCTAGATTCATGGGACCTTCCACAGGTATGAACATGACTGGAATGGGGACCCTGACAGGCATGGGGGACGCCTCCAGGTCCATGCCACCCCTGCACGCAGCGCCCAGGAGGAAACGACGGGTACTCTTCTCCCAGGCTCAGGTGTATGAGCTGGAGAGGAGATTTAAACAACAAAAATACCTCTCGGCGCCAGAGCGGGAACACCTGGCCAGTATGATCCACCTGACACCGACCCAGGTCAAGATCTGGTTCCAGAACCACAGATACAAGATGAAGCGGCAGGCCAAGGACAAAGCGGCGCAGCAACTGCAGCAGGAAAGCAACCTGTGTCAGCAACAACAGTCTCCGAGGCGCGTGGTCGTGCCTGTTCTGGTGAAGGACGGTAAACCGTGTCAGAACGGCTCCAACACGCCAACGCCGAACCAGCAGCAGGTACAGCAGCAACAACAGCAACAGAACGGCTCTGGGGTGCTCCAGGCTTCCAGTAATGGCATCAATCAACATCAAAACCAGCAGGTCCACTCCTTAGTTCAGGCCCAAGACCTGGAGGAGATATCACCTAGCCCTCCTTCACTCCACAGCCAGATCAACATGGCGCAGATAGACACTTCTGCTATAGACTACACCAATAACATGGTCAGCTCCAACCTCCTCTACGGCAGAACGTGGTAGGACCTGCTGTCCTTTTACATTTTTATATTTTAACCTGTGGATATTTTAACCTGCGGATGAGCTTAAGAGAAAACGAGACATGTATCATGTTGATATACACAACTGTGCGAAAATGGAGCCCTTGGGTGGCTGAGATGACAACACGCTCAGGCGCATCAGCTGGTCAGGGCACATTTTCTTGACATTTCTAAGAGGGAGACTATTTTTGAACATTACACGAAATGGCTGCCCTTGAAACAGATTGTGTCGTTTAGGGACCTTTTATAATCAATGTGATGGACTTCCTCATGATGTTAACGTAGGTGGGGTCTGGAGGGAAAAGGGAGAGATATAGGTGGGATCAGGTATGAACTCTCAAGGTACTAAGCCACCCCTCATTTGCGGTGATAACCTTGGTATAATATGCTATTAATATTGTAAACTAATGTATTCATTTAGACTTAAAGAAAGTAGAAACTGTAGGCCTATATGAAGTTTCATTCCAAACCGCTATATATCCATTTTCAGAAATGTTGGTAAATTAGCTTTTATTGTTTAAATAATTAAATTATGAAAGTGAGAGTTTTTTTTTTCACTATCTAATCATTCATTGAGGTTGTTCAATGACAGACATGTATTTGTTTAAAATCTATAATTTGATGGTTTCATTTCAGAAAGACAAATAATCATGTTTTTTGTTAAACGCTATATATCCTCCTCACTCTCAGAGAAATAAGTAGTACTGCTAGGTTTTACACAGTCAAGTGAGACAAATAACACTTTTTTTAAATAAAGAAATGTACAAATTATACATTTGTAACATCAATAGCCTATTTAATTAAAACATATATATATATATATATATATATATATATATATATATATATATATATATATATAATTAAATACAGTAATATGAGAGCTGTAAAACATTTACATTTGACATTTGAGTCATTTAGCAGATGCTCCAGAGGGATTTCCAGTTAGTGCATTCATCTTTAAGATAGCTAGGTGAGACAACCACATAACACAGTCAAATATAGGCTATAGTATACTAACATTCCATTCCAGCTAAACAACGGATAAATAGCGTTTTGCAAAAAAATAAATAATAATAATCATACACATCTGAAATCTGTGAATAGAAAATTGGAGAAAAGTTGTACACACACATTAAGCAATCATTTCTGATGTAGAAAAAAAAACTAATGTGAAAAATTGGTGGATTTTGCGTTTTGGAAATAAACTTTTCATATTTGGCTAACACACGAGAATGCGTTTACCTGTATAATACTTGTTTTAAGTCGACTTTTTTGTTTTCTTTATTATTTTGTAAGTTAAAACGAACAAATGCGTGATGACTGATGTATGTGTTTCAAACCAATTGAACGTTAACAATAAATCACTTGAAGTGCGAGCTATTTCTGGTGAATTAATTTTTATAAGGATCTGGTTGGAGTGCGTTTTCATTATTGTGTGATTGAGACAAATTGAGTTGGAAAGCAAGGTCGATGGGGTAGCCAGCATTGTTCACAGGAGATGTTGTAGAGGCATCGCAAATGTAAGCTGACCAATACACTGAAATATTATAACCTATTGAAAATAATATCCATGAACAATAGTTTTAGGTTAAGATAAAGCTACAGCAGTTTGACACAGCCTTATTATCGTTAGAATAAAAAACTGAGACACGTTCTATATGTTTTCAATATAGAAATGGTGTGATTCCAAAGCTAGAAGAATAGGTTAGTCAACACATACTTTTTTCACACTTCTCGTATACATTAATAATAAAATCAACGTAAATGTAATGATATTATCATTTATTTTATAATTATAATTATAATAATAATTATTATTATTATTATTGTTGTTGTTGTTGTTGTTGTTGTTGTTGATATTGTGGCACGTTATTGAATGAAATGTAGATCAATTTGTAATAACGTTTCTACTTTATAATGCACATTTTAAAGGACGTGTTTCTCATCAAGCTTATTGGCCTATTACAGCAGTAGCATTTAGAACTTATGCGCTGACATTCAAGAAATTGACGAAGTCTATATAGCCTAATATCGGATTCATGACAGTAAAGAAGGTGTAATGCAACACCAAAAACACTAATGACATGATATGTCTCTAATCAAAGTAATCTATTTTATCCATGTGCATTGCTACATTATTAAAACGGTATACCAAACTTACTATGCACACCACATGCTGATGCTGCAATGTACTTTTCTTTGTTATGATAAGGCCTGCTATAGGTAGGTATATATTCCCAGTCGGTTTTAATGGTACAATGTTTCCTATTCTAACGGTCAAAAATGTATCACACTGAGTTATCCAGTCCTTCACTGCAATTTATTTTTTATTCAGTTTTACCCCTTAGTCTCCATCCATAGGCTATATCCTAACTGTGGGCTTTCTATTGCAGTAATGCTACTGCAAAATACTGCTGTTATTCTCCAATGTCACTGATTATACAAACCTATCCCAATATTGTACCTATACAGACTAGCTCTATTTCTAGCTACTTCTATAAAGTAGGAGTTACCACTCTCGAATTTCACCTTTCATTCAAAATATATACAGTAAACCATCACTATAGTCCCAGATCTCTCTTAATTACACTATTACCATAGTAATAACCATTCCTACATTTCTACACTAGCTTTTTCACATCACAACTGTATCTAAAACAATCTGAATATAATCAAAGAAAGATATATGATAAAAGTTATTATGAGAAATAATATTTTTAGAGATTTGAATGTATTACTTTATAATATAGATTTCTAAAAATAATCCAATAAGAATTCCCAGAACTTCTGTTGTAGTTGCATGGATTCTTTTCATAGCCATCAAATAATACCTCATTATTATAATAATGTTGAGGGGCCCTTCTAAAACTAGCTGAGAAATCCAAACCCTCTTTGATAAGTCAATCTATCATAAGGATGGCATTAAGTTACTACTTCTTAAATATTTGTATAACACTCTCCAAAGCACAAGTTGTTATCCGTCTCTCCCTGTAGTCTGTCTGGTCTTCACCGTGATTTGTTCTGGACACCTGATAATAGGCCATTGCGTTCCATATCCATTGGCCATTTAAACATGTTTCAAAATTGCATCATAATAACAGTCATGATGATACCCTTGGATGATGATGATGATGGCCTATTGCTGTCTCTGCATCCTCTCCCTGAAAAGCTCCAATATTATTACAGCCGCTTCCCATACAGCTGTATGGATATCCAATCACCCAGAATACAGACTCCTGTGTGGGGAGTTATATAGGAGGAACTGAGACAATGTTCACTAAAGCTATACAATTTGAATTCCATTCTTCAAACATGTTTTATAATGTCATTTGGGGAGGTTTGACATGAGGTTCAAAATGAAGGTATATATTATCATGGTGCAAGAGTTGTTTTCCTGAACTCTATATTTTCTGTATTGTGGGTTTGGTTGAATTATTCTCAGCAAAACTTTTCATGGGGGAACTAATGAACTGAAGCCATTCTTGTCCTTATGTTTTAGTTATGGTCGTTGGTAGTCTATAGTTGTCATCTCTGACATTGCTATGATTGTGTCTCACAAGTTATGGGGATGTGAATTGAACTGTCTTCTCTATAGTTGAGAGTTATATACAATAACTGCTTGGATTGTAGACACTGACTCTGGGCCTCTGTCTCTGTATCTGTTGGTAAACCTTTTGGGTGACTTCAGACTCTCCATCTATTCTAGGCCTGGTTGTTCAGCCATGTATCCAGTTGGTAGGCTATTGATGTACACAATTGTCAAAGGTTACATTAGGAACAGAAAAATAATAGCATATAGTAGAATACATCACATACATACAAGGTTAAACACATCAAAATACATTCTGAGATACGGCAGTTATACCATGGAACTGGAAGGATTCTTTCATTTATTCAATGGCAAACATATAACCATAAAGGATGGAGAGTCTTTATTTTCAGTTCATGCGCAGAATTTCTCTGGTTCCATTCTTTCCAGTGAATTGCAGGTTACAAATGAATTCTTACCGCAGAGTAATTTGAATCTAGCAAGGGGCCTTGTCTGTGTTTTCTACCCCATTATTCTACTTAATATGTCAGAAGGTCTGATCGTGGAGAAACCTTTTCAAGTTCTATTGATGTGTTCTTCAATTGACTATGGTGACCTAGCAACCTAGTGGGCAATAATTGGCAGGGGATTATTGTAATTGGCCAGTACAGTTTACTTAGAAACAAAAATACAACCTTCATAATACATTTGTTTTGACAAAATGGTGGTCTGAGAAATGAACCTTGCAGAGACTACATATTTAATTATACATACACATACACAAATACTTTTTCATCTGCAGCAGTTCCCTAATTAAATTTAGCAATACAGGTTATAGGTTTTTCCAAGTCATAGAATATCTTGTATAGGATCTTCAATAAAAATACAGGACCAATGTTAACCCTTCGCATATTGATAATGGTCATTACACATGATAAAGGAACAAACGAATTAGACTACTATTCAAGTTATTAACCTGTTACCTCGCTCAGAGTTAACACTATCTTTAGAGGATCATAGGTTATTAAACTGGAGGAATTAATACTTTGACAGCAATGGGTAACAAAATATCCAATTGGATTGGTGTCCACATCACCAACCAACTATCATGGTCCAAACACATCAATACAGTCGTGAAGAGGGCACGACAAAGCCTATTCCTCCTCAGGAGACTGAAAACATTTGGCATGGGTCCTCAGATTCTCAAAAGGTTCTACAGCTGCACCATCGAGAGCATCCTGACTGGTTGCATCACCGCCTGGTATGGCAACTGCTCGGCCTCCAACCGCAAGGCACTACAGAGGGTAGTGCATACGGCCCAGTACATCACTGGGGCCAAGCTTCCTGCCATCCAGGACCTCTATACCAGGCGGTGTCAGAGGAAGGCCCTAAAAATGGTCAAAGACTCCAGCCACCCTAGTCATAGACTGTTCTCTCTGCTACCGCACGGC